TCGTTCGGTCACACAAGTTGTTTGCGTTCGGTCAGCAAGATTTCTGTTGTTCGGTCACACAGGTTTCCATCGTTCAGTCAATATGTTTGTTGGAAAAGTTTATTGGACAATTTTATAACTATTAGTTTGTAACTGACAACTAATGCAACCTATCAGTCATTGCATCAAGCCTTACTGTAGAATGATGTAAAATTTCTCAAGCAAAACAGCACACAATGCTGCAACCATGTTGATCTTATCATAGTCTCTTTTTCTTGATGAATGTTTCTACTAAATTCTACTTTGACTTGACACCCAGTGCACCAATTGTTCTCAGTTATACCTCCAATAGCACAGAGCTATTGGTCCAGCTTCTGGCATTCCAGCAACTGGCTGACAAAGGAAATTTAAACAAATCACACGGAACAATTGTTCTCACACAGTCAGTTGCTCCAGATTAGAAAGCATATTATGTTCAATTCCTAGAGTTCAAAGAGTGGTCCACAATTAGAAGTTGTCACTCACTGCATCAAATCTTAGTGTAGAAAGCCCACGCCCAGCCATACAGTGCACAATGCAACAGCCAAGTGACACTAATCTACAGGCAAGCCCACGCTTCTGACCGTCACCAAATCTTAGTGTACCAAAGCCAATGTGGCACCCGCGAGTGGTCAAAGTCTCACTTGGATCAAATCCTGACAGGGGTGCAGTAAAGAATTCTTTTCAAGAAGGCCCCCACATTCACATGACACACACACACACATTCCAAAAACCACGCAGGACAAGTGGGAAGTGCCTTTGGCCACAATGGACTTTGCAATCATTGCAATCTTCCAGGCCTCACTTTCCTGAGTGTGTGGGCCCAAGCAAGCACATGTCTACAAATCCTCTGGTCAGCCAACACCCACCATTATGAATATGAACGAGACTTAGCTCCACCCTTGCAACCCAGCTTCACCACTCCAAAGGCTGTTGGCAGCAAAACTCCAGTGATAAACGCAAGTCTTGCCGACCTCACCTGCATTTGCACTTTGCTCCATGATGCTTTTCCCACTAAAGCCAGGATCATCCAAACCCAGCAAAGAGTTCAACTTGTCGATGGTCTCAATCGGCGGATCATCCAGTGGCAACCTGATCACATGCTCCATGAAGCTCCCTTCTCGCTCACGGACATCCTGAGTTTTGGTGGAGTATAGGTCAGGGAACACAAAATATGTTCAGTGTAGAGCCTTTACATAAACTGACAACTCTGTCACTGTTTGACATGATGATGTTGAAGCAACCAAATAGAATGAGCAAGACTGTTAACTAGTGTTGATGTGATAATGGTCACACTTGATTTGGTTGCAAATCTCAGCTGAGCCTCCTTGCACATAGCATCAATCCTCTCTTGGAGTCTCTGTTGCCAGCCAGGCTCCATTGCCGCACAAGATCACACACAAAATTTCACAACAAATCCCTGGAGTCTCTGTGCATGGGTTTCACAGCAGACAGCCACAATGTACCCATGCATTGATTGAAAACGAGCGCAAGAAGACAGACTTGAATGTACACGCACTTGGGCTCTGCACCATGGACATAGAACACAGCAAGTATAACCCCTAAAGAAACATCAGATCCAAGACCAAGCCTCCACACAAACTTAACAGTAAACAGTAAACAATTTCATGCATTGACAACTTCAGACCTCAGAAAAGAATCTACACAATGTGTGAACCTTCACCACAGCACCAGGTATATGAAGCGTTTGTAGGGCGTTTCACTCTGTTCTTCATATCCACAGGCCACACACATACATAATGCACCTAGATCACTTTCCGGGGAGGACAAACAGCAAAGCTGCCAAAGCAACAGCTGCAATTACATTGCTTGTGAAAGCATTCCCCAGTAGATCTTGGCACTCTGTACAGCTGAGACGATGCTGGAGGCCATAAAGCTCTGCAGGACTTAACCCTTGCAATGCAAAAAGGAATTGCTTTCCTGGATTGATAAAGACTGTGCCCTCCGTCAAGTACAAATATCTCTTCCTCGGTAGCAAACAGTGGTGCGTGGTCTTCCATCGCATTCGGGTGATGCTGTCCCCAATGTTGCAGACATAGAGGACACCCTTCAACACAATATCCTCAGTTCAAGGCAGACCAGGTCTTATTCATTGCTCCTTTTTGCCCAACCCACCAAAAAATCATTTTTTTTAAAAAAACAGTGAAACTCAGTCAAGTCACTTGTTGTCGCTGCTTTCTCAGTGCTGCAAACGTAAGCATGGCGCCTTCAACCTCTCTCTTCGGCAGCTGCAAAGTTTGCAACTGCTCCTTCAGCCACATCAGCTGCTTGCAGCACAGGTCAGCATCATCAATGCCATGTTGATCTTTGAACTTTGAGTGCATTGAAGGCCACTTTTTGCCAGTGCCCTCATCCTCAATCTTCTTCTTATTCTTTCTCTTGTTGTCAATCTCCTGACTGTTCTGCACACAAGAACATGGTCTGAACCCAAGAAAGATTAAGAATAGGACATGGTCCAAGCCCAAAAATGTTGAAACAATGCATCAATATCAACCAAACTGCAAGAAATTACAAATGAAAGGCTCCTCAGGGACTTCATCCCTGCAATCATGGCTCCTCGTTCTCTCCCACAGCATGAACAGAGGCTCAGTCCACTTCAGTTTGCAACGGCCAACAAACTCCCAGGCAGATTCCAACTTCTTTGTCAATGCTGCTTGCGACACTGTGTCCAGACCTCCATTGGTCTTGATGGAAATCCCATACGTGCGTCCACGGGACTGAGGAATGCTGAAGTCTTGGCCTCCACTGAAAGCCCACAAAACCACTATCATCTGCATCTCAACACTAGGAACACCAAATATCTTTAACCCAGTGGAGTAAACATGATTAAACTAAATCTTTAAAGTAGCACAGTCATACTCAATCTATCCAAAGAACTGTCAACTTTCTGAAACTCTGTAATGTATCCACGCTGGGCAGAAGTCTCCTTGACCACATCAGTCCCTCGCTCCTGAACATTGCTTTGCCTGAAGCTGTCCAGCTTGGAAACGCATTCCCAAATAATGCAATCTGGTCTCTGTTCCAAAGTGCATGCATCCAAGTACCTGCCACATCAAACACATTGGGGCAGATCAGTTGAGCTCAATAAAAGATCCTGGCCCTAGGAAACAACCTTTAATATGCCATGAGGGTAAACAAACAAGCTGGAGTGTTCTGAGCTGCGACAAGAACTCCACCATGCTCTTTCCTGATTTCCCATTGGTGTCCAGGATGGATCTTGGTGTTGGTGTGAGTCCAGAGACATCGTCGCACTCAATGCTCATGATCGCAAGGTCACAAAGAGGCACTTTGCTGAGATGAGGTTGCTGCAAGTGCCCAGTTCGTTCATAAAACCTGGTCTCAGATTGACGTTAAAGGTGACATGATGTGACCAAGAAGAAGAAGCAAACCACTTGGCAATGCATTTTGCTGAGGCAAAATTTGAAGTCAGCTTTTCTGATGAAACCATGCAGACCACATACAAATTAACAATTCCTAAACTCAGTTGTTCAGCAATAATAGGCAGGAAACTGCACAGCAGCGTTTGGTTTGCAATCACTGAGGAATTGGGTAAGAGATTCCCTCTTCCATTTGCAGCTTTCTGTGAAGAACGAAGGCACCAAGTCAACATATACATCTTGAATGGACAGCTTCTTGGTCAACATTTCCTTAACTTGGCCACCATCACTTGGTCACTTCAGAATGCTGTGCAACCAGCTCTTTTTTAACAACTGAGACCACTAACAACAGCAAAAAAGAATGGAACAAACAATGCACATAGAGCACAGCTCAGTTTCCAGCGCTATAGTTCCAGTCCCCATCCCTGCACAAAACTCCGCATAATGCACCGCACTGCCCATGGTTGCCTTCATCTTCTTCAAGTGGAGCATCTCTGATGCATTCACAACTCTGGAACAAACATATTCCAGAAAATCACTCAGCCCTGAGGTTTTCAACCCTGGGTTCTCAGTCTCACCATGGGCAGAATCATCAGTCACCAATCGTTTCAGTACCTTCGCAGCTTTTCTGCCTTTGTGAGCAGCTGCTGCCCTCTTGATTCTGTTAGTCTCCGGTGAGCCATCACTTTCAGATGAGGTCTCTAGAGTTTTGTCAGAATCATATGGTTCAAGACTTCTTTTGCAGGCCCCTCCAGGGTTGCTTCTCCCTCGCCCACGACCTTGACGAGCTGGATTTCTCTCACTCCTCCCATGGCCACTTGCACGTCCACGCCCTCGGCCGCGCCCTCGTCCCTGTGCACGCTTCCTTGGAAATCAAAAGCTGAATCACTGATTGGGCAAGTTTCAACAGGACAGCCAACTACTGTTCACATGTCCAGAAGGCTTGGTGGGATAACAACACAAACCAAATGATGATCAAATCCCAATGCCAGGCACTGTGGTTGCACAAGGTCTTCATCAGAATCAGCATTGGATGTGGCTGCAGAAGACACAGAGGACATAGCCAGTGAGGGAACAAACACACAACTAACCAGTGGTAACTTTGCAGCGTGTGCTACATGACCACTTTCTTGCTTACACAGATTTTGTGCTTTGAATTTGCTTTGCTGGTTCCACTTGAGGCACATAATTTGATCCAGCACAGGAAACAAGACATGAAAGACATAGATGACACAAAGCAAAGCTTGACAGTGAACACAGAACGCAAGATCAAAGCTGATGAGGGCACTAAATGAATAGTGTAGCAGTCAAACGTGCCAAGCAAACAATTCTTGAAAGCAGAGAACTGCATGAATGTTTGTGTTTTGTGAACTCACCACCTTATGGGCGTGAAGACGCTATGTTAATTAATTGTTTCTCCATCACATGATCTTTTGGCACTGGCAGCACAGTGTCCCAGGCTTCACAAACCTTTCATGTGCAACATTTCAGCTGCCCGCCCCAAAGAGACAAGTGCTCCCAGGACACACCCCAGTACTGCTCTCACCATCATCATCGAAGGCCAATTGCAAGCCACTGTGGCCTCAAAACAAATTTGGTAGTCAACATGGAATCAAACAAGACAACCTCTTGTCTCTGAGGCAAAAGCCAATGCAACTGGCTCAGTCATAATGCGCATGATCAATCCAGCCAGCTGCAACCCTCGCGACATGGTACCTGGTCAAAGCTGGCCATCCAAGTTACCATAGATTGAACACAACAATGAAGGCTAATGTAGTATTATTCAAACTTGACGCAGTTCCTTCTACAACCACATGTTAAGTACCAGACGCTTTTTCAACAGAGCCATAGGTGCTCCAAGACAAAGTTGCTCCATTCTTGCGATCAACCTCCACCAGAATTTCAAGGCCAGTGAGGCACAGTGAAATCAGGTCAGTGCAAAGGCACACACTCAGAAGTCATTCAACACTAACTTGCACAAGCTGCAATGAACCTTGTTCACAGCATCTGGAGCAAGGACACGCTGAACATAAAATTGGCCATCCAGGCGACAAGTGATTGGCTTGGCATCCTCTTTCGCTGACTGAGGAGGGTAACACGTGAATGACCTGAAGTGCAAAAAGGAACAGTGCCCACATAGAGAGCAACATAGCTATCTCAGCACTATCTCAGCACAACCAGAAGTTCAGAAAGAATTGGTTAGCTCAAAAAACTCTGACAAAACAGGGCACATGTAATCTAACATCCTAAGTGCAACCTTCCTGACAAGGGACACCCTCTCAAAGTCTGCTGAGGTCTTCAAGTCTTCATGTTCACAAGCCTGCAGCACCTGCCTTCCTTCCAAGATCTTCTGCTGCCTGTAGTTATTGTTCTTGCCCTTCCGTCCA